ACAAGGCAAGGGGTGGAAGGGGGGGTGTGACATCACTTTTGCAGGCCTCTCTTTCTCACCTGCAACACAAGTTATGACAGGACAGTGGCTTCCTCTACCCACGGCCTGTGCCTTGGATTGCCTGTGGCCAGGTGCCCAGCTCTGGCTGTCCACGTGTCCCATGGGAGGGGACCACAGATCAGAAGGCAGAGCCACACCTCCTCAACCAAGCCTGCCTCCCCAGCCCAGTGGCCCTCCTGGGGCCCAGGTGGCGGTGACAAAGAAAGCCTCTGTTCTCTGCTCCTCCTACACCGGGTGGCCATGCAGTGCCCCAGGGCCTGCCAGTGGCTGTGAGGTGAACACAGAGGCCCCTTGTTGGTGATCCTACAAGCACAAGCTGAACATTTGCTGGGGTGCATGCTATCTTACAACCTGCCTGGAAGGAGAGCTAGGCTCTCAGGGCGTCCATTTCTCCATCCACAAAATGGGTCTTCAAGGAGATCCTTTCAAGACATTTGAGGAAAACAAAGCTATGTTGTATAGGGTTATTCTGCTACACAAGGATTTGGTGTGCGTGCGTAGCTTTTTCAGGTTGTTTACTTCCCTGGAGTTTGTCGGCGAGGATCAGTTGTGATTGGAAAGTGAGCAGCAGGGACTTGTGGTGCAGATGGAGTTTGCCATCAGCAGGTGTCTGCATTGTTGTGAATGTTTCTGGCATTTTGCTGGATCTCTGGCTAAGTCATCCATTCCCTCCTTCCCAACCAGTAACACATGGTCTTGCTCCTTGTTTGCTCCTAGGGACACAGCTGTAGCACAGTAAGCACACGGGGAGTCCCAGCTTAGGGCTTGCATAGCTCAGGGGTCCATGCCTGGGGCTGGCTCCTGGACCTGGTGAGTGATAGACATCAGGAGTGAATACCAGGCCCTCGTCTCAGCACGTGGTTAGCAAATGCAGCCCATGTTCCCTTCCAACTTCTCTTTTTCTCCCTTTCAAACAGAATGAATGAATAAATTTTTGGAGGAGCAGGTACCCCCTGAGTCTTCCACGGTGCCCGTCAATGCATAGGAAGCACTAAGTAAAGATGAGGCCATTTTTCCAAACTGTTGGTGCCCATGTGGCCTTTCTGATTGATCAGTGGAGGCTTTGAGGTCTCTCGAAGCTTCTGGCTCACTGGGGTATTGTGGTGTGAAGAAGGTGGCATCTGATACCTGGAAGGAGGGTTTGTAAGCTCTCCTGTGACCATGGGCACTGATGGAGGTGCCTTGGAATCGACCTCCAGTTACTGACGAGGATCACACTTCGAGATTGATGGAGGTCAGGTCTGCCAATTCCAGATGGTGGGCTCCAAAAGCCTGGAAGGGGAATCAGAACAAGGGGAAGATCTGAAGGGATGTCAGAACATTCCAGAAGGTGTCTAGACCAAGCTGGAAGGCTAGCCAAGCCCTGGAGTGTGTTTGAGCCAGGCCAGCCCCAGTGCAATGAGAGGTCCTCCCAGCACGTCATCTTCCCAGCTCCAACCCTCACTTCTTCGCCCCTGCAGGGATCCCAACTTCCATTTTTAATTGCCTATAGGTGGGATTAATTAGGCTTCCTCATTTTAACAGCTCACGTGGTGGCTGGGGGGGGGGCGATGCACAGTCTCTGTCTAAATGCTGATATTCTTGGGGGGAATTGTGTCTTTATCTTTGGCAGAAAAAAAATCACTAAAGTAAAAGAATTGCCACTTTAAATTGCAGATTAAAGAGAAACTTAATTAGAAGGAATGAAAGCAGTTGTGTTTGAAGCTTTTGTTCTTAATTTTTTTCTTTTGCTGCACCCGGGAGTTTGCATATTTGTATTTTAGGTGAAATGATTTGCCTAATTAAGCCTGTCAGTCATCACCACCTGTTCTCTCTAAACTATATGGCTATATTATTAAGCTTGCCAGCGAATGTATAAATTAATTCAGTGGGGAATTATGGTGTTGACTAGGACATTCGGAGGTTTTATCCAATTTACCGTATATGAAAACCGATATTTTTCTCCCCAATAAAGCAAAACAAGAGCTCATTAAGTCTCCTCTTGTCGTCTTCCCTTGAGTACCTGTTTATGTCAGCAGGTGTGTTGCTAGGCATGGAGACTGGAACAGAGGTGGTACAGCCCCCTGCGCTCAGCTCATGGGGCACCCTGCAAGAAGACTGACCAAGAAAACTGACCAAATGAGTCTTGGGGGTGAGGTCAGGGACAGCTTCTTGGGAAAGGTGACCCCAGACAGTTAAGTGGAATCAGGCAGGAGAAGAGGTTGGAGACCCCTTCCTGCTTGCTCCATGTGCACACCTCTGCCATCCCACCACAGAAATCCCTGCCCTGATCTTAGCTGGTGCCATCCCAGTGTGCCTGCCATGGATATGGCTCACACCCCAGCTCCAACCCTGCTCCCTGGGACAGCCAAGAGGCCCTCACTGTCTATATGTGGCTGGCTACAGGACAGAACCGTGCCAGACAAGAGAGCTGGAGCCCTCAGCAAGTACCTACCCTACCAGCTCCCCGACCTGGCATCCAGGGCTGTGGGCAGTTCTAGGCTGGCACCAGGCCTTCGTTCAACAAGTTTGAGAGTCTTCCTGCCCCTCCATGCAGTGCCCAGGCCTCAGGGCCGGTCCACTCCTGCACTCATGCTGCATCTGGGACCCTGCACAGGTCCTGCTGTCTTTCCCTTATACCCCCGGCACCTGCTCTCATCATCCATTAAACCCCATTTAAAAAACTTTTTTTAAGGAGCTATTTTAGGCTCACAGCAAAATTGAATGGAAAAGACAGAGAGCTACCACATACCCCCTGCCCTTCCTTTCTTTGCCATACAGCAGTCCTGTCACAAAGTATAAAGCAAATATCCCGTTGAAAAAAGTAAAACTCAGGCCCGAGTTACGGTCCAGCAGATTAAGTAAGTCTGCCTGCTCAGGTATCCCATGTGAATGCCCATTCAAATCCTGGCTGCTTTACGTCCAATCTAGCTCCCTGCTCATGGCACGCAGGAAAGCAACAGAACGTGGCCTAAATGCTTGGCCCCTGTCACAGGGAAGATCCAAATGAAGTTCCTGGCTCCTGGCTTCAGCCTGGCACAGCCCCAGCCTTGGCAGCCACTTGAGGAGTGAGCCAGCAGATAAATGATCTCAATCTCTGTCCCTATCTCTCTGTCACTCTGACTTTCCCCATCAGAATGTCTCAGCAGCTCCCACCTTTGGCACCATGTCTTCCTCCTTCCTCTCCATCTACTGAACCATGTTGTTTCTGCAGCACTCAAAGCAGAAGTTTACCCCAGGAGCTTGGTCTCTCCTCTGCACATGTCTTTCCCATGGATGTATCTCCTCCCCCAGCTGTTTCTACAGAGGCCCTCACTCATCACCAGCTGCTGAGAAGCTCACGTCCAGTGCTTATGTCTGCTCACCAGGACCAAGAGCTCTGTCTGTTTTGTTCCTGACCTTGAACCATGGCTGGCGCTAGTGTATGCACATTGTGGAAGGTCATAGGTAACATCTACAGGACTGCAGGACAAACAGGCCGGCCACATGTTCTACACAGTCCCTAGGGGCCGGAGATGGCCCTTGCTGCTGTCCACTGTGACATCCCTACAGAGGAGTGTCTGTAAGAGTCAGGGGTACGTAGAGGTGTCCAAGGGAGGTGGTTGTTGGTGGCTGAGTCTAGAACAGGTTTCATGCCTGTTTCTAGGTCCCAGCAGACAGCACTGCACCACTGTCCACAAGCGAGGGTTGAGTGCTGTCAACCTGGAGTTGCATTCCCAGGCTAGCGGGAAAACTTCTGCCTGTATGTGTGGCTTGGCCAAGAACGTGTCTTGTGGACCTACAGCCAGATGTTTTGCCAGCCATGCCTGGTTGACCCAATGACCCATGCGTGCCAGGCACCTGTTCTTGTCACGCCTCACAAAGTGGTGACATGGGAGATGGGCCTCAGAAAAGTTCACTCACTTAGCCAAGGCCATACTGGTCCCTGGCAGGATGCAGAAAGGGGGTTCAGGACCCTTGGGACCTTCGAAGGAGCCTCCTGGGTTCCCCCGTGTTTGCACGGAACTGATGTGATGATAATAAAAGTGGATAGTTGTCTCTGAGGTTTATTGATTTACCTGAAAGGCAGATCACAGAAGGTAAGAGAAACAGATCTTCACCTGCCGGTTCACTCCTCAAATGGGCAGTACAGCCAGGGCTGGACGGAACTAAAGCCAAGAACCAGGAACTCCATCCAGGTCTCCCATGTGGAGGGTAGGGGCTCAAGTACCTGGGCTGTCTTCTCCTCCATTCTCAAGTGCATTAACAGGGAGCTGGATCAGAAACAGAGAAGCCAGGTCTCAAACCAACAGGCTAGTATGGATGCCATCTTGGTAAACAGCAGCTTAATCCACTGAAGACAGTGCTGGTCTCAGAAGTAAATATTTATGAAGTATTCACTGACTCCCCACAAGACAGTCTGTGTGCAGTGGTTGATTTAAATCCTCAGGAAGTAGGAGCCCTCAGTACCCCGTGCTTCAGAGGAATCAGGCCCATAGGCAGCCTGTGAGGTAGACCAGCTGTTGTTCCCCAGGACCCTGACCAGCAGTTGCTGTTTTACCTTTGTAGGGTTATCTGTAGGTTCTTAGCTTCACCCAGATATTGGCTGAGCCCAGGACAGGCTGCCTGTGTACCCTGAGGCCCACACAGGTAGTTTGAATAAAGAGGAGCAGAGTTGGGGACTGCAAAAGGACCCCTGAGCAGAGCTCCCACAGCAGCAAGGAGCTAGATGGACCAGTGTGGCCCTCGCCAGGGACAGGAGGGGAGGAGCTCCTTGGAGGCAAGTTGCTGGCCCAGAGGGAGAGCCTTGACCCCTCATTGGAGAACCTCACAGACCCTCAAACATGCTGTGGGGCTCAGCAGCACTTGTGTCATGTCCTCAAAAGCTAGAGTCCCATCAGCCCTGTTTGCCACTGCTCCCCATTCCCCACAACCCTTAGGCCAAGCTGCCAGTCACCATGCACTCGCTTTGTGCCCTGCAGCCCAGTTCAACGGCAACGAGAAACGACAGTCATCCCCTTCACCTTCCCGGGACCGGCGACGTCAGCTTCGTGCCCCTGGAGGAGGCTTCAAGCCCATCAAACATGGCAGCCCTGAGTTCTGCGGGATCCTGGGTGAGAGAGTAGACCCCACCGTCCCACTCGAGAAGCAAATGTAAGTGTGGGAGTGGTGCCATCAAGCATGATGGGATGGAGGGGGGCCTGGCAGGACTTCAGGGGTCCCCTCGTGTACCCTCTGTTCCCTTGATCAAGTATACCTTGAGGCTCATGGAAGGGCAAGGCCACTCACAAGTCAGCAACATGCCTGACCTCCTGCATGCCCCTTCTGGCAGCCAGGCCATGTCTTGGCCCACCTGCAACCTCTGAGGGCCTGATTTCTTTTCTGGCTTACAGCTCTGTTTCTACACCCAGGCTGCTGGGTCCCAGCTGAACAAACCCTCTCCTCTCTCCATCTCCTTCCCTAGAGGTTTCCCACCTGTGTTCATTGGCCTGTCCCTGAATTTTCCAGCCCTCTCCCTCCTAGCCTCCCCCAGCACTGCCCTGGGCCAGGCACTTCACTGCCTTGCCCTTTAGCCACAGTCATCATCTCCCTTCTCTAAGACTCCCTCTCACCTGTAGGGAGGAGTTCCATTTCTCTAGCCTGCCATCTGCCCTGGGAATTGCCCCCCAACTCTGCTTTTTTGATTCTACCCCTGGCTGGTCTCCCTTACCCTCCCTCCCTGCCTTACTTGGCCTGAAGGTTGTACTTCCTGCGATCACGCCCACTTCACACTTGCCACTGTCTGACATAGCTGCTAGGTCAGCCTGCTGACTGCCCCCCACCCCACCCCCGACTCTGCATCAGCCCTGGAGATCAAGGGAGTAGCGAGTGATGAATAAATACTTGGCGAGTTAATGGACCTCTGCTGGGACCATGTGACAACGACAGTGGAGTCGTGCTAATCCCCAGCTGTGCCCTGACCCAGTGGCTCCAGGAAATCCAGCTACGTCCCCTACATGCTTCTGCCCGGAATATCTCCTCCGTCCAGGCAGAGCCTAGCAGCCAAGCCCAGCAGCAGCTGTCATGGACATCCCCTGGGGCTAGTGGTGCCCAGCCTGCCCAGAGCTGGCCCAGATCCCCGGCACCTTGACCCAGTGCCCTCCACCCCTTGTTTCTTTGCATCCCCGACCCCAGGTCCCCGGCTTTTGTCTGCCTGTGATGTCTCAGGGGAAGGAAACAGCAACTTAGCCTGCTTACCCCCGGGATTACCTTTAACAAGTACCCAGAGGCCCCAGGAGCTGTGCCCTGGGAGCTGCAGATGCCGGGCAGCACTTCTCTGGGGACATCCTGAGTCACTGGTGTTGTCAGCTCCCCAGCGCCGCCTCACACAGTCTCTCCCTAAGGCAGACTCACCCAGGCCGTGGGCTCCCATTTCCTTGGGTATCTCCGTCTGCGTCTCCCAGCTGCAGCCGTGCTAACTGGCGGCAACACAGCTTGGGCCTCAGGTCTCTAGGTACATTTTAGTGGTGGCAGCCCATGCATCCTCCGTGTCCCTCTTGATTTCTCTGTAACTTCAGGAAGGAGGGGTTGCAGTCTGCATGTGTACACACACACACACACATACACACTTCTCCCCTCCACTGGCCAGTTCCATAGCCACCTCCTGGACAGACAGCAGTCCAGTCTTGCTCTCATTAGATAGAGACAGTCACACCTGCTTCTCCAAGACCTGGCTTTTTCTAAGCACCAGTGATAACTGTGTGACAGTCATGCTGCTAGCTGTTGAGGAACAGGTAGCACACGGTGGCAGGTGCCTATGGAAATATCCACCCTGGGCCTCCCCCCACCTGCAGGACAGCGCAGTGTCCTCGTTCACACACATACAGCCACTGGCCAGGCAGGAGCCTGCAGAGGGCGGAAGAGGGGCTCACCCACACGCGGGTGGTGGGATCAGACTCTAGCTGCTGCCGATGCTTCTTGGTGACCTTACCACTGCCAGACTCTGCCTCAACCCTGGCCACCATCTCTGCTGCTCTTGGCAGCCCCTTCTACACTGCCTGCCTCTCAGACACACTCATAGAAGCAAGGGGTATTCTGGGCCTATTGCTGTCAGGCAGATGAGAGTCTGCTGAACAAAAACTCCACCCCTCCCAAAAGCCAGCAGTTACAAGTGGTTCTGTGTTGGGGGGATTGGGCAGATGCAGGCTCCACTCCCTTCTCTGCTGCTCCCCTCTGTGATGCTGGAGTGTCCACACGCCCAACCAGGGCCACTGGCCAGCAGTACAATGCAGCCATCTCACCACTGTGCCCAGACCAAAGTAACGAGCTTGCCCATGAATGTCACAGAGAGAGAGTGGCCCCCGAGTCAGTGTCCTCTGATGACTTCCTTGTCACTCAGAGAAAGGCACCTGCTTTGGGACATCCCCCTCTAGCCATTTCTGGCCCTGGGCTGCTTCCAAAACCCACCTGCCAGGCCCCTGCCTAGGCCCTCACACCGGCCCTTCCCCAGGCCAGAAAAAGTACCTTTTCGTAGCTTCCTCCCTCGCAGTCTATACTGAGACACTACTCTCTCTGGGATGTCCCCCACGGCCCCCTGCTGGAAACGACAGTCTCCCTGCAACTCCCAGGCCCTGTGGTCATGTGGCCCAGCTGTGTGACAACCAGTGGGCCTGCTGCCCAGCTCCCCCACCACAGCAGGAACTTCCCCTGGCGGAGGGTACTCTGGGCTTCCAGCACCACTCTCTCCTGGGAGCTGCTGAAAATCTGTTCCATGAGCAGACAGATACACGTGTACCTAGCAACCAAAGACGTTCAGGGCATGCCTCCCTCAGGTGCCAGGACCGTGGGCGCCCCTTGGCTGCCCTGTGCTTGCTGCGCTCTGAGCTCACGCTGCCTCCCCCTACCCGCAGATGGTATCACGGAGCCATCAGCAGAGGAGACGCTGAGAACCTGCTGCGACTGTGCAAGGAGTGCAGCTACCTTGTCCGGAACAGCCAAACCAGCAAGCACGACTACTCCCTCTCCCTGAAGTGAGTACCACCCCTGCCCACCCAGCTCCGTGAGGCCACACGCTCCCCCCCGAGTTTGTGTCCTTTCAGGAAGCTTGCTGGCATGAGTTACAGCAGACCCTCATTTTTCTCTTCTCTTTTGTAATGATTTATTTATTTCCTTGTTGAGACTTATTTATTTTACAAAAGGAGTTACAGAGATCTCCCATCTGCTGGTTCACTCCCCAAATGATTTCAGCTGGGGCCAGGCTGAAGCCCCAAGCGTGGAACTCCAAGTCTGCTATGTGAATAACAGGAACCCAAAGCTCTTGGAGCATCCTCCGTTCTGAGGAGCCTCTGTGGTAGCCATTGCTGCCTTGCTCAGAGAGAGAGGGTCTTCTCCCAGGATTTATCCAGCCAGGATTGTGGGAACCCACAGCCCCTCAGCCCCCTCCAACCTCATGATAGCCCTCTGATGAGGGACATATGGCCCCCTTCTGCAGATGAGCAAACTGAGGCACACAGTGAGAGGGTGTGGTCCACATGGCAGGGCCAGGGCTGGACTTCCACTGCTGCTGGGAGAGCAGCCCTTTTCCTGTGCCCCGGCCATTGTCTCAGCTGACCTGATTTACATGCCTCATACCTGTTGGGAAGAATCCAAGCAGTGTTGGGGATGGGGGGAGTGGTGAAGGGGTGTGTATTTGCACGCACTCGCTCGCACCTGTATACATGCATGTGTTCAATTATTCCTCACCTGCAAGACCTTGCTATCAGGATGGGTGGGCCCAGGAGTAAGGGAAAGGCATTAGGACAGGGACCCCATTATTGAGTGCCATTACTGAGTGATGCCTAAGAGACTGTCTACAGCCCATTTTATGGGTAAGAAAACTGGGGCCCAGAGAAAGAGGCACAAATAAAACTTCATGACATAATTGGGGTATAAACCTTCATTCAGCCAGCACAAATCCCCTAGCAGCCGTGAGGCCCTCTGTCCCACTCACTCAGTGACAGAAAGCTGGCCTGCTGGGATGCTGATGAGGGCACTGTGCTCACCACCTTCACCCACAGATCCCCTGGCAGGGACTGGTAAAGGAAGCCCTTGGCAGCACTAGCTGTCCCGGGAGGCCTGGGTTGTGTTCCCTGTCACTCTATCAGAGAATCTCCTGTGGAAACCCATCTGTCTGGGCTGGGGCTGGGAAGGGCAGGCCTGAAGGCCCAAGGGCCCTCTGCAGAAGAACTGACTGAATACACAGCAAAAGGGTAGGTACCCAGTGCCAAGCAGAGCTTGGGATAGCTGCTCTATTTATGTCCCAGGCCAGTGCCAAGGCCCGTGGTGCCACCTGCTGAGCAGCCAGGCCATGTGGCAGCTCAGCAAGGCATTGTATGAGCAACACCATTGCCAACCTGTGGAATCCACACCCTGCCATGCCCAGACAGCAGCCACACACACAGGCCCAGCTCACGAGTAGGTCTCAATGCCAGCAGGGCCATGTTCCCTCCTCCCTGCTCCTCCTCCCTGGTGTATACTATCTGCTAGGGACATGACCTTGGCTGGTCCCACCACCTCTCTGCACTTTGCCTCATCTATGCCCTGGAGGTGGCAGTGGCCCACTCCCAGGCAGCCACATCTGTACCATCTTGGCATCATGGCCTCCTGCCCCTGATTCCTGTGATCAGCCCTACTGTTAGGACAAAGTCCATTTTTTTTCCCCGAGAGCCACAGGAAGGACCTAATGTCCAAAGTTCAGGATTGGACACTGCTCGGTGCTCACTGGATAATCTTGAACAAGCTCCTTCCCATCTCTGAGTCTTGGGGTCACCACTGCTGGCCATGCAGGGTACTCCCATCTCTGCTTTAGGAGTTGTTAAAACTCCACACACATCCAGGTAACCCAGTCTGCAGGTCCAGCAACCCCTTTGTTCCCCGTGTGCTCTGACTAAATCCAGTGCACCTTCCAGGCCCGGAGAAGAGGAGGGTGACAGGGAGATGGCTCAGAAGCCTATGCAGGCTGGACCCCAGGCAAGAATGTTCTGCATTCAGGCATCAGGCTCTTCGTCTCCTACTCATTCTGTCAGTCCAATCACAGGGACTGCAGCTTAGCTGGCTGGTCTGCTCCCAGAGGGGCTGGAGGTGGAGGTATAGTTTTGCATGCTTGTCTAGAGCTATCAGGTCACCACCCTTGAAAGCCAGAAGGCTGGATGTACCTGCTGAGCTGTCCTGTGAATCCCCACACTGGGGTGAGAGAGGAGTGAGTTGACCCATCCTGGCCTGGGCCAGACTACCGCTGAGAGGGAGGTGGGCTTATTTCCCAGAACAGCCCAAAGTGCACCTGCTGACCACAGAACAAGATCCTGGCATTCATCACCTTGACTGTGGTGGATGGTCCTAGTACTGAGTGTCCTAGCTGCTTGGGGTGGATACCAGCTCTGTCGACTGGCATGTGAGGGGCAGGGCCTGCCTGGATGAGTGGGGTGGGGCACGGCATTCCCCACGCAGGCAGGGTGCGCACTGACACTGGAATCCTAGCTATGCTGCTTCCCGCCTGCCTCTAGCCGCTTCTACCCAGAGCCTCAGCTTTGCTCTGCATGGAGGGAAGACTGGGGAAGTCCAGCCTCGGAGGACAAGGCACTCCACCCATCCCATGCATCTGAACCCTCTGTACCAGGCACTTGGCTGGGCATCAGAGAGCAAGCCAGCATGCCAAGGTGGTTCCAGCTGTGTCTCACTGCAGGACAGTCTGCCTGGATGGGGTAATCTAGGACCCCGAGTTGGCACTTGGGTGGACAGCCAGGAAGAGCTATAGTGGGGAGCCTCAGGGAGAAGTCAGGCATGTGTCTCAGGTGGAGGCAATAGCCTGGGCAAAACCACCACACGCTGTAGGAGAGCCCTGCAGACTTCAGCATCTCCCCCCACAGAGGAGCTGGAACACAGTTCTCAGTGTCAGGGACCCCCCCCGCCACAGAGGTTCCACTTGGGCGAACTCCCTACCCCCTCTCCAATTCCCAAATCTCTACTTTCCCATGTCAATAGATATTGCATGTGCCAGAAGTCCCACACAGGTATCCTGGGGGCCTCCCCATACCAGCCTGCCATTGCCCTAAATGACAGCGGCACCAGAAAACACTGCCCTCCTGCTCATCCCAGGGAGCAGGGAGCCACGTGGCCAACTAGGGTCGCCCCAGTCCCTTTGCTTTGTATGTAAGGAAGCTGACATCTGTAATGGTTCATGGCCAGGCTGCCACCCCCCTGTGTCTCAGAGGTCCCCCTCCACAAGGAGACCTCATTGCCTCCATCACTTCCCACTCCCCCTACTCCCCTGGCTGGGTCTCTGCTGGGTCGTTGGGCTCCCCTTCCCTCTTTTAATCCTAGCACCCATTCCTGGCCCCTGGACACGCTCACACCAGCCTTGGGAAGCTGAGAGCTTGGTCTTGAGAGATTGGCAAAAAGAAATCAAACTCCAGCATCATCTCCCACCTCCTCTGGCAAGATAGGTGGAGGGGAACAGACTGGAGGATCCCCACCAATCCTTCTCCATGGATGGCCCTCCACAAGTCCTGGCTTCCAAGTTCCTGCCAAGCAATACAGACACGAGGCACATGGGAACTCCCCAGGGGTAGGGAGGAGCAGGGACAGTACACACAGGAAATCCCCAGCTCTAACAAGTCATGAAAGTCCCGAACCCAACGGAGGAAGCCGCCCCTGAGTCCTCACAAAAGGGGCCTCTGGCTTTGGAATCCCAAAGGCAAACAGCCAGAGTCCAGTGCTCCAGAGCTGTTTCCGGGTGCTCCAGCCTGATGGCCCATATGTCTCCCTCCTCCTCCTCCCACCTCCATCCCTGTTCAATGTCAGTGACTTATGGAGTTGCAGGTTAGCAGGAAGTCCCTGAATCCTCCCCTAGTCACCCATAGAAGATATATCAAAAACAACCCAAGGGAGATGTTCCTATGGGCCAGCAAGGAAAGCGGGGACTTGAAGAGGAGGTGTTTGAAGGGAGAGCAGGGCTTAGGTCAGGTACAGTGCAGTGAGAGCAGACCAGGCCCAGAGGCTGTGAACTACAGACCACACTAATGTCAAGGGGGCTGCTTGAGCTGCAAGGGAGACCTGTCGTGAGAGGCCCGGGAGATGGTGGGCAGTTCAGGAGCAGGCAGGCTGGCCAAGTCCAGGGCTGGAAGCCCTTTGCAAGCTGCAGAGGGAAAACCACAGTTTCTGTAGTCAGAAAGCCCCGAGTTCAAGTCCCACTGCCACCGTTCAGCAACCATGCAATGCTAGGCAACTGGCTCTGCGTCCCTGATCATTGCCGAAGAAGGAGGGCTTGGCAGGAAAGCCCCTTGCATGGCACTGTGCCTTAGGAGCTGCTGGTCATCTCTGCTCCCTGGCTGTTCTAGAGACTTTAGACATTGCCATAGAAGCTGCAAAGGGGACAGAGTCCTAGGTGACAAGGCCAGCTTGTCTCTGCTCTGCTCCATGGATGTGGGTTCACTTCTCCTGCCTTGTGCTTCTGTAAGAATGAGGCTCCAGGGTTGGGTCAATGCACCTGCTTCCAGTCTGGGGGGCTGGGGGGAGGTCCCAGGATCCATTCTCCAGCTGGGATGGTAGGAAGACACCACTTACTTCCTCTGCTGAGTGAGTTTTTCTTGTCCCCTCATGAATTAATGCAGCAAAGGAGCATGTTTTGCAACAGTGGCCTGTTTGGGTCCGGTGGGCAGCTGCTTGATCAATCATGGTTTGTGGTGGCTGACAGCCAGGAGCAAGCAGGAAGAATGCTGGGCGGGGTGGGCGACCGAGCTGAAGGCTGGCTGACCAAGGCTCCTGCACATGCCCTTCTCCTCCATCCTTACGTAGTTACACTCACCTTACATCACAGTTAGGGGAAAAAAAGCTGGGCTTGTCACCCTGATGCTCTGCCTCATGGACTACACCCTCTTCTTCTCGAGGATCTTGGGCCCAGCCAGGTCTCTGGATGCTTTGGCCCCAGGACCTTGGCCGGGCTCCTTCACCAGGTGTTTCTCTGATACTTCTCCCTGGTTTGCAGCGGCATGCC